TTGTGTGTCACTGTGAAATGCTGCCATTCATAGCTGCCTTACAAACAGGTTTCTTCACTCAAAGTCCTAAGCTGCCATGCAAGAATTTAAGCTGAAGGCAGGATCTGAGGTAGGATGAAGTACCATCACCAGTTCACGACAGTAGGTATCTTTGTTAGGATAACAAAGCTGAGTGGGGAAGTCTAGAAGGTGTGCTGCCAAAGGTGGGGGAAAAATGTGCCCCAGCATAAATACTAGGTCTTTCTTCAAGTGTCAAGTATGTGATTTCCTAATAACAGAAATACAGGCCTGTATTCAGCTTGTATTATATATATAAGATTGTTCAAATAGCTGAAACAATCAAGAGCATCATTTCTTAGTGAATGTAGCCAATGTAAAGCGATTTGGAATCAAGTGCTTCTGCTAATGAAGAATTAAACCTAAATTTTCACAGAATTTATCAGTACTGTTCTTTCTTCTGGCTGGTACTTGAATCAACATTGTAAAATGTTATATATCTTCTAGAATTATAAAGTCATCTAATTGTATTCTAAAATAAAACTAAATGATCTTTAAGGTCCCTTCCAACCCAAGCCATTCTATGATTGTAGGACACTATTCCAATTTTTGGGGTGCATGTTATGTATTGACAACAATCATGCCTAAGTATTTATACAATAAATATACTACTTGAGCAAGGTTCAACAACAGGATGAGGTTGCAACAACCAAACCTAATTCTGAACCAACCGTGAGAAGTCAGAGTTGATGTTTTGAACAATGAGACCTATATTAGATCACAATAAAAATTTTGGTACTAAGACTAGGCTTAGGAGAGGTTATTTGATGTTCAAAGACAGTATTATTTTCAACAAAGTTTCTATGACTTCTATCACTTATTTTAGGTAGATGTAGATCCAGGATGTGCCAGGAGTCAGCTGTAATCAGACCAAGTAGATAATACAGTTAAATGCCATTAACGTTAGCCTCAAAATAACTGCCTTTTTTAAATTGCCATACAACTGTGTACAAGAAGCATTCTCCTTTTTATAGAGAAGTACTTATTCTATAGACATGAACAGAGAGAGTAAAACTGGTGTCAGATAACAGCTGCTGAAATTTTCCTGTCCGAAGGAATGCAGATAGAAAATCAAATGATCATCAGGATTCAGAAACAAGAATTGCCATTGAACCAAATTTTAGCAGCAGAGCCACAAGCTGATATGCTTCCTTTTCAGTTTCAAAATGAAAGTGCAGTTAATCACTTTCATGGTGCATGAGAGAAGCAGGAAAACAAAATCTCCTGTGCCTTCAAAAGCATGCTGCTCGTGCCTGACAGAAAGAGGAGCACAGCCTTGCCTCCTGTGAAAACTCCAAGTGCAAAGGGCAGCAAGCACCACACACCCCTGTTGGTCCCTACTCCATTGCCAAAATCTCTCCATTGATCTTCTACAATGCCTGGTGCTCAGTCAGCCCAAAAATAACACTGGTGCTATGCTTCAGATTTGGGATTTGAAACAATGCAAAATGAACTGGTTAGCAAAAGAGTGCTACTGATTAGCACAGACAGCATGGGATGAAATGCAGAATGCTCTCTGACAATGAAGGCTAGTATAGGAGCAGGGCGTTTAATCTTGTAATATATTAGGCTAATGGGATATTCCACTAACTGCTCTTCATGCATTGCCAGTTTGCAATATGGCTGGAAGGAGGTCTTGGCACAGAAAATAGAAAAGGCCTTTGGTTTCCAAGGCTGGAAGGACCACGGAATAGAGCTTTCAAAACTACTGGAAAAGGATGCATCGTGAGGCATCATTCCTCTCTGGGACTACAGAGAAGTGCTGATGGTTTGCAGAGACCACTGTTAATTCCTCCAGCTCAGAAGAGTTCTCCTCACCATAAATGTATCCTCCTCAGGATATACAGACACACTTCAGTGGAGACAATGTATTTCCTTTCAGCTGTCTAGAAATTAAGACATCTTGATCCCAGAGGCAATGTTAATCAGACTCCAAAAGGACCTCAATCTACTTGTTATAACTTCAAAACTTTGCTTGAAAGAAATTAAAAGATAAAGTAAAGAGAAACCTGAGAATGCAAATATATCTACAAGAGCATCCTTGACACCATTGGTCAGCTTCAGAATGGGTTGTGCTGGAACTTACTCTGAGTAATGCACCAGAAACTCCACAGAAGACAGGAATTCCTATGTACTGCCTTCACCATTTTTGATAGAAAGCTTGTGATATAGCTTATTAGTTAAATTTTATATCTCCTTTAGCTATTCTCAGTTCATTCTCATCTAAGACTGAAGCAACAGGATAATTTTCAAGCCTGAAAAGCTATAAATCGGTATTTAAATGGGCAGTTTCCAATACCCACTTCATCAGAAGTGTGATTTCTCCCTGAGAACATAAGACAGCACAGCTTCCTTGAGGAGTCACATAAGCTGGGTTAGAAGGGACCCATAAGGATCAGCAAATCCAACACCTAGCCCTGCACAGGATCACCCCCAAGAGTCAGCTCGTGCCTGGAGTATTGTCCAAATGCTTCTTGAATTCTGTCAGGCCTGGTGCTGTGACCATTCCCTAGGGGCCTGTTAAGAAATTAATTTCTAGCACACATGTAACTTTGTATCTACTTGTTTACAAACTGTGAACCAAAAATTGACATGGAACACCATGTATGTGGAACTTAGGAACACAAATCACAGAAACTATTCCAGTCTCAGGTCGATGTAGAGAAAGAAGAATCTCAGTTAATATCAGAATACTCCTGCTGTTGTCTTATCGCACCGATGATTAAAGATAGTTGCCCAAAATCTATGTCTCATTATAATGCATCAGTAAAGCAACTAAGGCAATCATACCTCAGACTTCTGGAAAGTATTTGGAGCCTGGGTTTAGAGTTGGGAGTGAACACAAGGTTTTCATAAGAAGAGACACAGTCACAACTGACAATTAATCAAAACTGAAATTATTCCCAGAAGAAGTTCCTGTCCTCAAAAAAAAAAAAAAAAAAAAAAAAAAAAGGAAAGGAAAAGCCCCAGATTTTAAATTATTTTAAATTCTAGAAATCAGCCATTTCAACATTTTTAAAACAAAAACTCTTGGGTATGCGGTTGAAAGCATCTTCTCCTGTTGAAACTTAATTTAGTTTATAGTAAAAGGTTAAAAAAAGAAAAAAGGGGTCACCATTAAAATGAAATACGTTTGTTTGTTTCTCAAGTCACTCATATATTCACTGAGTCTCATGCCAGGCCTAAAATTTCAAAATCAACAGAATACTTGTGAGACAAGAAAAGTGTTCTGTATATCCACACAGCAAAGGGAACATTAGCTGTTCAAGCTCTTCCCAGTTTCCTTGCAGTGCAGCTCAAAAATTACTTTTTCAAATCCCCCTGAAAAATGGAATCATAGTCTAGTTCTCCAACCTTTTAAATGTTTAGAGACTTTTAAAATTTCTTTTATATTATTATACTTTTTGGAAAAAAACTACACAGCTAGTCCTTAGGAGACTAAAATCGAGGGGTTACTTCAACCAAAACAACCACAAATTATTCTTTTTGATTAATGAAATCAAAGCATTAAATATACACACCTATATTTTACTATGGCCATTGCACAGAGAATGGATTCATGACTGTTGATGCTGGAACTGTTATGGCAAACTAGATTGTGGGGGTTTTTTCATTTTATATATTTGAAAAACTGAAGACCAGTTAGAGGCCGCTCCTCTTTTTCAGCAGCCATCTTTTTCAATCTTCTCAGTAAAGCACAGAACACAGTCACAAGAGAAAGCTGAACTTATTTCAATCAGTTCAGGTTATAAATTTATGAAACTAAAGACCAGAAAAGACTATTTGATAAAGCAATCTGAGTGCTTCTATATGACAAACTATCAAATTTCCTTTGGGTTCTTTCATTTTGTGCTCCCATCACTGTATCTGGCTGACACAGTGTTTGGCTAAAGCAAGCCTTAATGACAGCCCTCCACCTGAGGGACAGCTGTGATATTTATTTAGGCACAACATACATATATAGAAGAAAATGGCCACTAAGGCTCTTTAGACATCGACACAAAGTTAACTAGCCACTGACTACAATCTGAAACCTAAAAAAAGTACCCCTGGAATTATGTATCTCCATTTTGGATACAAAATCATCAACTTTCCCTGAAATGATTGAAAAGTTGATACTTTTTCAGTTCTTCTAGGATTATCTAGGACATCCCAACTATGCAGTCCTAGCCGTGCTGCCAAACCCACTCAGCATTGAAGATGTATTTCTTCTCGTGTCCAGCTGTTCAGTCAGGCACATCTTTACCCAACTTTCAACTATCCCACTGAATTTGGGTTTCTGCAGTGCCTGCTACCCCAAAGGTCTTGGTATCTGGAGTAAAAAAAAAACTGTTTTCCACTATGCAGCAGGACTGCTATAGGAAAAAAAATCTTTTAAACAGTGTGCTAGATTACCCTATGAGGAGAAGAAAATGAAAGTTTAGCTTAAAAAATCATCTACAATTATGAGAAATATCCTCAGATTTCCTTCCTGGGATGTCTTTTGTTTCACTGAGTGAGTCTAGTTTATTGATTTTATTGACTGCAATACATCAGGTCAGGAAGCAGCAGCTTGCATGCTTACTTGTTTATACGTCTTTCATGAACTAAAGCACATTCTGCTCTTCAGAGAAGAGGAAGGGTCTCTTTAGACCCCAAAAACAAATTTCCAGTATTGTAAAATAATGCTAGGAATATGAGGTGTTGTGACAGAAACATGTAGAAACACCAAAGTCTGTAATTTTTTTAGCACTTTGGCATAATCAACTCCAAATCAGGAGATGAATTCAGATTGTTGCCCTGGTTATCACTGCTTCTAAGAGTTCTTTGTAAGGTATTTGTGAAATAATAGACTGTGGCTTTTAAGGCCAGAAAGGACCACATAGGACATTTCATGTAGCACAACAATATAATTTCACCCAGCTGTGTATGCATTGTTTGCTAATGCATAAAATCATTTGCAGACTCCAAGAAATGGTAAGCTTGCTCCTCCTCTTCATCATTTGTTCCTGTGGCTGATAACTTCATTGTTAACAACTGAGCAGTAACATTAATCTAGGTGGAAACCAAAAAATACTGGGAATAGCACTATCTGATTAAACACTGATATTCAAGGTAATTAACATCCTTTTTGCCAGGTCTGTTCATCATAAAAGCAACAAAGTTTTAAGATTTATTTCTTTCTAAGCAAATTTTTGTATTTGTTTCTCATTCATTCATGTTTCTAGAAGCTTATAAAATTTGGGGGCAAATCCATGTTCTGTTTTCCATCTCCATAGGCCACAATGCTTTCAAACAATGACTGGTACTTTCTTCTGTAGCTTTCTGTGATTTTCATGCAGTTTTTTTTTCAGGATAGAATGGAAGCCGCCTTCTCACAAAGAAATTATTCCCATATGGATTCATAGCTGAAAGTTCATGAGAACTGCACATGCACAAAAAAGGAATAAGAAATGTGAATACTCTTTGGGATGTCACAGAACACATTTCCAGATAAAATAATAGTCTACATTTTTGCAGATTTTCCATCTTCAAAATATTGGACATGCATTCATCATCAGATATTAAATATCATAAGTGTTATTTTACGAAGGTTAAGCTTCTGACCATCACTGTCAGATTCACTGCTGCAGTTACGGGGGTGATAAAAAAATGTTGTATATGAATGACAGACTTTGTAGTGCACTTGACTTTGACACATACATTGCCAGCAGCATTCTTGGAAATCTCACTCCCTGGAAGAGGTGTAGGATATGGAAAGAGTGTGTGGCACAAAGGCTGACTGCTACCATATATTAAGACCAGGTGGTCTTGATGGGTGGGCTATAACCCCCTTATCTGCTCTCCCTCTGCAAATCTGTACTTATTTTGAAGCTTTACCCTTCCTTACAAGTTCTGAGTCCTTTATTAGAAACTGAGGCTCAGAAGAACAGAGGATTAGCTTTTATTGTCTCACTCATGGCCAGGCCTGTCTGAAGGTCCTTTTCTTCTGTAAGAAGTGGTTATTGACAGCAGAATTCTGCAGAGGATAATGCCCGGAATACATCCGTACACGGCAATGAACCATGGTGCAGTGACTCCTGAGCAAACCTGACAGCTGAGATAGCCCTGAAGCACTTGCAGAAAAGCTGCTAAGGTCCCAAAGGAGACCCAGATTTGTTTATATGGCCCTGCACCCAAGTAGTCAGCCCTTGCTCTAGTTCAGAGTCACCTTGATACAGCTCTACCAGCTCAATGCTCATCTCACCACAACTACAGCAACCCATGGCCAGGAACTGCCCACTGCAGGGGAATGTTACAGCAATCAGCACTTCAGAAATGAATGCACAATAAAGACATGAAGAAAGCAAGAATGTACTTTAAAGTTTCATGTTTAGCATCTGTTACACTTGCTGAGAGGGAAGCCTAAGTTTGACTGATTTGATCAAACTAAGCAATTCAAGCATCTTCTCCCTAATTTTAGGCTGAAGAAAATTGCAGCAATGCAGAAGCAGATGACAAATCAAAAGAAGAAAAATAGAAATTAAAAGCTCAGTTCTGGCCTTTCATCTTTATTACCCTTCTTTATGTGCATATGGAAGGTGTTCAATTCTTTCCAAGTCTGTATGATATTCCCTTGTGTTTCAAGACCTGCAGAGCTGTAGCTGTCTATAAAAAGGCAACCTAACAGCTTCCTGTGTCTGAGAGTTGAATGTGTTATTTGTTACCAGCTGGTTCATGGATAGCTTGAGCCCATGTCTTGGCTTTAAGTGATCAAACTGACTTTAAACCACTCACTCATGGGGTATATTCATGTATAGAGAGAATTCTGTTGCAATATTTTATTTCTGAATTATGCCATAAGACTTCTTTTTCCTAAACCAATATTAAAACCAGAATCTCTAATACGCCAAACGCAGACTGCATTTTTTGGAAAGCTGATACCAAGCATAACAGTAAATGAACCCTTCTGAAAGGTTAAAATTGCTTTCACATAAAACATTTTCTACCAGGAAATGGAAGTGGAATGTCGAATTAAGTATTTAACTTGAAAGAACTGAGCACAGACTCCAATGGTTCATTATATTTTAAAATTAAAAAAGCAAATATCTTTTTATGAGCATACATAGTTCTAGCTTCATTAAAAGGGTATTATGAAGGCAAAATGAATCCCTGTATTTTGGATGCTTCTTTTAACCTTCTAGAAGCTCCCTTCCTGTCCATTAAATATTCTAGGGTGAGCTTTCACAATGTGGTAAAATTCATCCAACAGTTCTGCTCCCTTCACATCCCCTGCATCCTTTCTTCCCTGACATGCAGTCCTATTCCTTCCCTTCCACTTTCTCATTTTCACATAACTCCTTGATGAATGTAACTGGATTACTAAACCAGTAAAAAGCTATCCATGTTTTTGTTTTGCTGAATTGGTACCAGCCAGAAAGATGAACCAGCTCTAAGGGTTATACAGAAGCCAGAGCTGGTGCAGAAGCTGGTGCAAAAGCAATGGTTGAGAACAGCACTCAAGATTTTCTTGGAAGACCTCAAACCCTTAAAGCACCTATTCTAAATAATGTGATTGCCTCTTAAAAATATACTTCCTGTTTGAGATGGTGACCTGTTGCAGTAGATTCTGCAAAAACTAAAGGATGAAAGTAATCATACCGGATTTGCCACTTACAGAGACAACAAAGATTGATGGCAAACATGCACCATGGGGTGGTTGCCCATTCTCAGGAGCAAATATTCCTGCATGAGGGCAGTGACCTCATGACACATCTTTATAGAATGCAAACAAAAAGTGTCTGTTTCATGGGGGCAATCTTTTGCTTTGGAAGGAAATAAAAAAAATGCCAACTTTATACAGTTTCCTTTAACCTTGATTTTGATTCTGTGATCATTCAGGAAGGGAAGAAGCTATCCAAATGAGCCTGACACACTGACCTACTGCTGATTTGCCAGATTCCAGTGTCCTCAAGTGTGACACAACATTATTATTCAGTGTCCTGTATTTAAAATCAAAAGTGATTTAATCTGGCTCTCTGCCATACCATTTGCTGGCATGTTGACACCATGTAAATAATGCATAGCTCTGTGACCACACTACTTTCATGCCATGTGCTGGGAAAAACAGACAATGCCTGGTATTAGTATTTGCCGCATCTGAGATACCTTGGAAATTTGAAAAATTAACATGAAAATGACTTCAAATATTGTAGTCTCCAGCTCCAAACTTCTTCATTACAACTCAAAAAGAACCTGTGCATCTATTGTGATTAGGAACAGAGATTTCTGATTTGTATCTCACGTCTTTTAAAAGTCACCCTTCTAAGATTGTTTATAAATAACTGAGTTTATTAACTGACACAAGAACACTGGCAAGACTTTTCTCTGTTGACTGTAAAGGCCACCATTTTAGAAGGAACCTCAAAATATAACAAAAACACAGTTCAAGACTGCAAAATTTGAAATAATTGGTATCAGACATTGCTCCCTGCTAACAGTACACAGTCTATTTCTACTTTTCAATCATTTCAAAAGTTAAACCTACCAATGCCATCATGGCATGCTCATCAAACAAAAGTGAAATTGTGGTTTTCTTTAGGGAACACTGTAAAGCAAAAAGAGCATATTTAATATGCTACCTACTCCTTACATTAGTCTTTTATCATCTAAATATCATGCAACCTCAGTCATATTAAGGGCAGACAGCAATATATGCAGCTTTTCACAGGACATTTAACAAGACTGGAAGTTAGCATCTATATCACTGCTACCTAGCTACTGTTCCATACACTCTCCCCTTCAATCCTCTGATTATCAAACAGAGAAAGAGCTGATTTAGTTTTACCTTTTTGCAGTTTACAATAATGAAAAAACTGCTCTTCTTCATTTCCCTGGGCCTATGTTGTCAGAGCAGGAGCGTGATGTACATTCTTCCTGTGAAGCTACACAGGAGCAACTATCAAATCAGGACAAACAACAGAATACAACAATGAAGAACAGAAAGCTAGAAGCTGGGTGGTTACAAGAAGGTTGGGGTGGCTGTGTTATTGTGGAAAAATCACCTCAATCTTCACTCTGTGGCCATCACTAGTGAAATACAGAGATATGCATTTACCTACAGACTTCAGATTCCCAAAGCCTGAAATAAAAGAATATCCATCTTACAACCACTGAACTATGCAATTGGATCATATTTTCTCAGGGCAAAACAGATGCATGCATCAAAATGCCTTGCCCAAATAAATTCCTTTGAAACTTTGGAACAGAGCAAACATAAAAATGAAAGGGAAGGGCTCTTTTATTTTTCTGCTCCTATGAGACAGTCAAAGCACACAGAAATTTGGTGTCTTTCTGTTCAAGGATGAATACGTTGGACAACATTCTGTACTTGTCCACGTTGTTCAAAAGGATCAGCATTTCGAGAGTCCCAAACCAAGACCAATTCTTTCTGTTTTCTCCATTAAGAAGACCAGAATCTTGTGGTCTCTTTTCAAAGGAATGTCTTTGTCCAGAACCTTGCCTCAGAGATTTATTTTCATTATGTTATTTAGAACAGAAAAGAACACTGGAATGACTTCCTAATTTCTTTAGTAAATCTGTTCTTAATCTGCTTTACTCCAAGCATTTTACAGAGTTTCTTACATGATGTTCTACTCTGAAGTTCTGTAATTACACACACAGTGGTCAAACTTTCTCTTGACCAGAAAAGACTGGCAGTAATTCCAGTAAATTGAAAGGAAAAGTTTGGGGAAAAGAGTAGGACAGTTGAGAAGATAACTTAGTGCTTAAGATGTGATGTCTGTTCTAACAGCTTCTCTGGGTAATGGAGTTGTCCCTCACAGAGTACTGACAAAGCCTGTCTTGTGGAAGTTTTCTACAGTTTTTGTTTTGCCTGGGGTTTAGATTTCACAAGGCTAACTAGATTGCCTTTGTCTAGGAAACCCCACGGGTGAAGCCAGATGGTGTCTGTGTGCAAACTGCAAAGATTGAAAATGGGGAAAGGGTAGTGGCTGAAAATGGGAATAAAAACAACTGAACTAGATGAGTGGGTAAAGTACAACAAGCTAACAAGACGTTATGAAGTGGCATGATAAGGGTAATGAAATGTGCTCTTCACAGGCAAAAATGTAAGTATTTTGAGGGGAATGTCAAATGTATTTGGGCCTTTTTTCTAAAGTCCATTCAAAGCTTCCTTCAGCAAGGTATTCTCTCTTCCTCCTCAATGAATTCTTGTGACAATTCTGTTAGCTACAGAAAATTCCTCTAAATAATTGTTGCTAGATACATATCTCTATATGCAAGAAAAAATTATTCCAAATGAGTCCAGTACTAGACAAGTGGCAAGTAAAAATAGCACATCTTGCACATTCTTACTAAGAGCTAGCTCAGCAGTCAGCAGCACTGCCTGAACAGTCAGCTGTAAAAGTTCTTGTTTTGTGATAA